ACTTGAGTATTACTCTGTTGGGGTCGGCTCTAGGCGGTCTTTGACATGTCCTCCCATTTTATTCAGCTGTTATCTGTTTGTATTCAGCTGGTGGCTGTATTTTTTCACTTTTATGCGCTTTATATATTATTTCTATCGTTTCGAAAAAAAAAAAATTCAGAGTCGAAATTCACTTTAGAACAAGTTTCCTAGTCAAAACTCAAAAGCAATCCAATGAAGGAATCCAAATTTCTTTGGATTATAGATTATGAGCGTGGTTGAAAAACTCCTATTTAGAATTGTTGCTCGTTAGTGTGATTATGCAAACTGAATTATTATAAATTACGACATTTTATATATATTTTTTTTTATTATTTTTGCATTCACTTAATTTTTTATACCTTACATAGGACGATAAAACAAACATAACAACTTCCATTTTTTTTTTATTTCCTTTCATATTAATTAACTTAACAAAAATATTCATATTTTATAATACATGAACTGATACAATTATATGAAATTGTTTATGAGCAAATAACGTATCCATGCAAGAAAATGAATACACCAAACATTTCTTATAGCTTCACCAACTAATCCGTCCTCAAGATTTTGCACTAAATGTTATAATTTTGCTCTATTTTTTATGAACAGTTGAAAAATGATCCAAGATTAAACAAAAAATTATGAGAAATTTACCCCCTTTACAATTGCTTAAGAAAATAATATTACAAATACGAAGTCACAAACTTATCATCACAAATACGTTTTTTTTCTAATTAAAATAAGTTTATTATGTTGGACGATTTTTTTTCTTGATTAACCATTAATTATTATCAATTAACTTGTATTTAATAAAGGTAAATACAAGAAAAAAAAAAAATCAGCCTTTCTCTCTCTCTATATCTCAGTTCTAGTGTATCATCTTTAGAAGAAACCAAAACAACTCCATCTCCCATAAACACACAAACAAGCCTCTTCTCAGGAAAAAATTATTCGATGGCAAAGAGAAGAAACAATGAGGCCAAATCCTCCAACATTGAAGACGAAAGAAGGTTAACTCGCTCCCGATCTCATCGCACATCTCAATTTTAACCTCCTGAGCGTAAGGTTGTACAAAAGAAGCTGCAATTTCAGAAAATTGAAGCTCTGAGTCATGCCAAAAAAATGAATCCCATGACGGTCGAGGTTAATTCGGACGGAGACGACGATTTTGTGTCCAAACAGAAAATCAAACAAGAAAAAAATAAGACGCCCGACCCACCAAGAAGAAGAGGGTTCGAGAAAACAAGAGTAAAGCGA